AACCTAAATTGTCAGGTCTCAATGGTCTATATTTTCGTATTCTGCACCTTTTGTTTACTAAATAACAGTAGTTTCATAAATTATGTATGGAAAAATTGCTAATTTTTGGATATGTTTTGCATATTTTGTAGAGTTCTAGAAGAATAGTAATCATGGTCATAAAACTTTGAAAATTTCAGTATTTGTAGCAAATTTTATGTAGATTTTGTAGAAAATGTTATCCTTTATTGATTTCTTCTTTCAGTGCATTGCTCTATACAGAGCGTTGGAGACATCTGGCATGTACTTGTGATATATGTCATCAGCGTATCACAAGTACACGGGATTTACAGTCTCTCTTTTCTACAAAAAATATTATTGAACCCATGAATCTTTATTACAAATTCTGATACCTTTAATAGAAAAAAAAATCCTCATTTAGTTAGAGAGACTGGACCTCAAATTAGAAACTTTTTGAATGTCTGGGCTAGCATTCTAAATAACACTGATAAAGAGCCCTTACGATAGCCTACGATTAAATAAATTAATTATTTTTGTATAAACCGTTATTTTTTCCTCTAAAAAAATACTTAATTTGACATAATGTTAACTGATTCTCCAAAGCAGACCTGATATTCAGCGTTTTTTAAAAAAGATTTAATTTTCTAGAGATTTTATAATAATAAAATATAAAAATTTTATAGTAATATAAAACTACCAACTTACGCTGCAATAGGTACAACACTCTATAAAATACTGAATATGATTTAAAGTCTGCCCATGCAGTTGGCGACACCCAGTACGTACAGGAATGAGTCCATGCCGTCTGGGCAGATCAGGGCAAATCTTATTCTTCCCGTAATACCTGGACAAAGGGCCTGGCTTTCGATATTATCCCTCCAGGAATTAAAGAAAAATAAGACGAAAGCCTCTGTGCAGTCTCTAAAAAAAACTTCTATCTGCGGCTTTGGATTTTCGTCTTCGTGGCTTATTTTCTCCGTTTTCATATAGAATTTTCAAGCGTATTTGATATATATAAGGAAGCGGCAACATAAATTTATAACGATCGTGTTTGATTATTTTCAAGCTAAAAAGAGTCATGTAAAAAACACCATAAACTTGAAAATAATTTCGCAAATTATAGTTATTTGCTATAATTTTTTATCTTAAATTATACCTATTTTAAATCAGGTTAACCGTAGATATAGCTGCAAATTCATTGACGTAAATGTTTTTTTTTGTATACGGCTGTAATTAACATAAACAAGTGATATCTATTAGCAGCTGACAATTTAGAAACTAGTTAAATTAAATGCAATCCAATTATTCAAAGTGTTATGTTGTTACACTATTATATTTTTTTCTATTCGCAATAATCGACTGTTAAAAATATGATGCATATTTTGTGATTTATAGTCTGTTTTTTCACTGACTAATTTGTTCGGTTTAGAGGTAAAGGGCTAAGTTCGAACGTTTCGCTAATAGGAGGAGGTAATCACCTTAATCTGATGAAGAAGTAGACATTAATTTTCGGTCTAGTGGCAGATCTAAATTAGCAAACGATCACTCAGTAAGAAATTAATATGCGGTACAGCACTGAACAGATAAATCCAAAGTAATTAGAAAATTTGACGCTTTTCTTTAAGTATTTACAAGTAGAACTTTGAACAGAGGCGCAACAGAGCTTAATAAATCGTCAAACAAAAAACTAAAATCAAATCCGAACAATACTTAATAAATAGCGATTAAACATGTACCTGATTAATAAAATTTACTTCCGTTAGATAAACTATAATTGCGCACACTACGCGATTACTTTTATTGTCCATTTTTCGTTTAATGTCTTTACATACCTTCAGGAAGAATTTGAAGTATGTTTAAATGGCAATTGTGGTGCGAATGAAATGCAGCTACGTTTAGATATATAGGGCATGGACGTAGATCAAGGAAAATCCTTGATTTTTCTTAGTCGTAAGTCCTGAGAAATTTCTTCGTGTGTCTTAGACCGTTGGAGTATTCCCATTTCAGGTTACGGATGGAGCCTTCCCGGTTCTTCAGTTCGGCTTTATGACGGTTTCCACTTGGGAAGCAGAACGGTTCTGGTCGTTCATATTACATACACATTACATAGTCGACAAAGTCTGCTCTTATCAATGGACTACAAAAAAGCGCCGCAGAAACACTTGCATACAAAATATATTTAATTTTCTTGATTCTTAGGCTTTCAACAGGCCTTACACATTCAACGTCAACATTTTCACGGTATATTTTCCACATGTCTATTACTGTTTATAAACTTAGTATTAATGTGCTCAAATCCATTCAATATTATCGTATCGACAATGATAGACATAAAAATATATTACCCTTTAGTATTAAAATTTCTGTTCAATTGAATACTGATTTGAACTACAAGAAATTATAGTCACAAGAAACGTCACCCTAGTTGACAGTAAAAAGAGGGCCCGTAACCAGGGCCGGCGGAAGGAAAATATTGAGCCCGGGCAAGTAGGTACCATATCTGGCGCCCCCCCTATTAGTTATCTCTCTTTCCTTCAATATTATAATTTAACTACAACTAAGCATATTTATGCTACTTTAACAATAAATTTTTACTTAAAGATACTTCAAAATTATTCTTCTCTTGGTTCAATCTTAGTCTACGGTTGTTGTTTTTTCTACACCGGGTGCGTCTCAAAAATGACTCACCCCTATAACTTTTTTATTTTTTAGATAAAAAATCGAGATTTGGTATGTTTTTCGTGTCTTGTCCAGGCCGGTTAAAACATGCCCAAATCGTATTTTTAATCATATCTTAATTTTTTCAAATGGAACAAGGGTGGCTCATTTGTAAATTTGGAAAAAAGCATTTTTTACGAATAATTTGAAACCACACACCTGGTATTTCGAGTCAAGTTGTTACAAATTGTTATCCGTTATGAACCGCATGTTACAATTTCAAATTAATCATATGCGAAAGTGTCAAAAGTTGACATATGATATGTTATTCTATTCAAAGTGTCATTTTCTATCGCATAAAGTAGAAATATACCAAGGGTGTTATTTAAAAATAAAAAGTTGTAGTAATTTCCGGTGAAACAGGAAGTGACCAAAAACAATTGAATACGTCAATTAATCCTAATTTATGTCAAATATATACCAAATCTCGTTTTTTCATCTGAAAAAAGTTATAGGGTGAGCCACTTTTGAGAAGCACCCGGTATATAGAGCTATAAGAAATAGAATTCCAACTTCGGCAGTCTCGTTCTGGAATAAGTGATCTTTGAAAACATTAGTATTTAGTTACAAGCAGTTGCATTATTTTTCTATATGAATTTAAGAAAATTTTCCTTTCTTTTTCACAATCAATTATTTCGTGCAGAATCAGTATATGATCAGACAGTTTTGTCGGCTGAGGAAAATCAGGATCAGCCAGTGTTTGAGATGCATTTCTTTATGAGAAATTTTTCTTTGTGAGAAAATTTTCTTCCTGTAATTTCTCTAATGAGAAAATTCTACGATCCTGGTACCATTTTCCGTGTATTACTACATATTCAATCCGGAACAATCAAAACCACCAAAAGATTGATATCTTTTCCCACTACTGTTAATAAATATATTTAATTAATGAGGCAAACTTATAAGCTTTTTTTGATAATAAGGATATCGAGATACTCTTCAGCTTCTTGCGAATGAATATCATTCATATAATTTTAGGGTATCAGCCATTAATAACAAATAAAGGTTGTGTGTAGTAGAAAAAGTGCGACTTTGAGCGGTCAGTCTAAAACTGTCAATTTTGCTGGCCCTTGACCCAAAAACAGTTAGAAATTTATAAAAACGAGAATTATAGGTAGAAAGAAGGCTTATTTATAAAAAGTTGTTAGTTTTTGAGTTATAAGTAAAATACAAATCAAATTTATATTTTTTTATATTATTTTGTTTAAGATTCTTTCACAAAAATGAATTCGCAAATCCCAGTTTCGAATAGAGCATCCAAAAAACATATAGAAAAGAAGAAATCAAAACTATCCCAAAGCTTTCGTGCTAAGGATTTTTTTGAGCAATTTTAGTAAACTATAATAGGATACGTCTAGGATATAGTAGTGTTTATAATGTTTAGTCAGATATTTCTTCCCTATGTGATGTGGTATGGTAATTGCTAATATTTTAATGTGGAAATTGATAGTATCGATTAATTATTGATCTGGTTTTTCATTACTATTTGTTTATATTACTGTTTTTAAATATTTTAATTGCTGTCGTGGCGCCCCTCGCATCGCTCGGCCCCTCGGGTCGCTCGGCCCTTCCGCCGGCCCTGCCCGTAACGCCACTGTGGTTGAATTTAAGGGGCTTTACCAAGCGGAAAGCAGCGGCTGATAAGAAAGAAAGACAGATCAATTGATAGCTCCCACAGATGACAGCTAATGGCGTGATCCAGCGCCGGTCTCTTTATTTCCGGTCCACGTAAAAGATGACATTTCGGAGGTCCGCGTCCTTCAAGCTTTCTTACTTACATTAAAACAGAATTTGAGCTTTAAGCTTATAAAAAACTTAAGTCTTCTTATATTTAAATCATTTTGATTTTAGAAATAACTTCAGACTTAAGAGGGTGTCCATAAATTAGGTGAGGATTTTTGACCCCCTCCCACACTGATGAGAAGTCGTGAGATTTGTCTTGATTAATCTGACTTGAGATCTTTCAAAATTTGTATTTTGAGTATAAATGCGTTGGCTTTATTTAAAAAGACTAGTATATCAGATTGTTTAGATCGTAATTTAAAAATCACAGTAATTAACATTAAATAATACTTAAATTGGAACTACTAAAATTAATAGGGGACATTCATTCGAATTCAGTCCATGGAGTTCTATTTTTTCCATTAAAAAAATTAATACATGAGATTCGGGTTGACCCCTCCCCCATTGATTTCCCCACGTAATTAATGAACAATAATGAACGTAATTAATGAACATTCATCTCTAACTGATTTTCATATATTTCTTTTTTATGTTTTCAGGAAAGTCGATCCCTGTCCATTGCATAGTTGAAACCATTTCGGTTCTGGACGAGAACCGTATCCAGCACGGCGTGTGGCGAAGGAGGCCTCTCATCGAAACAGACACCTACGTGATCATTCCCACGGGAACCCCCTTCCACAACCTGGTGCAGGCTGCGCTGTACCGCTTGGGTTACTCTCCAGAGAGCGCAGCAGCGGCCAAGGGTTCCGTGCTGATTAAGAATTGGAAAGCGCTCAACTTCGACCAGATTTCCGATGACCCCTTGGTCACCGTCGGCGACATATTGGGAGAGCTCTCCACTGTGGCCACTCTCAGGATACAGGTTTTTCGGGGCAAGCCTGGATTTTTGACGGACATCAAGGACAAACTGCTGAGATATCTTTTGCTGCAATCTCATGGAATCTTGCTTTCTTCCGGCTGTCCTCTCGACGAAGTAAGTCGTATAAAAATAATTGTTAGGTTTTAATTTGTTTATTTCATATTGTTTAATAATATATTTTGCGTTTTCAAAAAGAAATTTTACAAAGTGTATTGTAATTTCGAAGGGGGGATTTGGCGATCACGGTGCCGCGCTCTGCGCCGTGTAGAAGGCTTTTGATCTTATTAATTCCACGAAATAATGCTACATAATCTTATTAAAAGCGAGGTTACTGCCATTCTCTGCACCCTTAATACATTCGTTGCCGTTTAATTCTTAAGATGTGATTCATAACCGCTTCTCCCTAGGAGACGTGGTGATACCGTTCTCACAAGTATTTTGTTTGTGCTGTGTCGTCTCGTGTCTAGGCACCTTATTAATACAGCATTTTGAATTATAACAAGAACGCGAAGGATTTTACAGCTATTTTGTACGTTTTACTGAATGCGATCTGTTAGCGAGGAATTAGAAAAAACATTATATTACGGCGTACGTTACTGATTAATTTAAAAATACAGTTCGCGTCTCGATAAAAAAAACACCTTGTTACGACCGACAGAGTGTCGACAAAAGAATGAGGAAAAGTTAGCCTTTAAGAAGGTCTAAGGGTGGCGGAGCAACGCTTTTGGGGAATAAGTTAAAAAGCAGGGGCAAATAAATCACGAGATTCGCGCGTTTTCAGTTGAATGTGGCTGAACCAGAGATAAATCCGGCTGCGTAGAGCTTTCTAATCTCTCCCCGAAAACGGGACTACAAACATTTGCTAATATACTGTTCGCATATTATTTTCTTTCCTTAACGGCTTTAGATAAGCCGGCTTTTGTATACAAACGAAAGCGAGGCTCGGCCTTTCGTTAATCTTATTGGAAATTTATGAGTGACCCCGCGAATAAAGCTGGCGATTTTTATGTTTCATTTGTCCTCTTCGCTCGCTTATCGTGCGAGATTCGAAATTTAACCCGTCGGAGTCGGGGCGCCGCGCCGTTTAATAAGAAAGAAATTAATTTAACGCAATCACCTTACGCTGGCGAGATTAAATATAGACTGTTGACTTGTTGCCCCGCTCTAGTTTTCTGTGACCTATCTATCTTTATTGGCACCTACTAATTTATTAGATTCGAGCGAATTAAGTAATTGTATACAGCAAAAGGAAAAGTTACCGACTAATAGATAGTAAAATCAACCATCGAGAAAATAGTTTCATTCGTCTACACCAGTTACCTTTTATTTTGCAGATGATATTGTCGCAAATGTGCCGAAGTAACATAGCGTCGGCGAGTTACCCGGAAATCTCGGAAGAAACACGCCGCAAATTCGATTTGTGGTGGTCCGCTCAAGTCACTTCCCAAATCCCAGCATCCAGGTCTCAGTTCATTCCCTCGTACCCTAGCCAGTATTCCATGCCGACGCCAACGCCTCCTCTGGAACGTACTATTTCTGAGTCCAACCACCCGGCCATACAGACGGTCCACAGTCAATTCCCTACCCAGAAGACTCGAATGAGGACTAGTTTCGATCCAGAACTCGAACTTCCGAAGCTCCAGCGTTGGTTTACGGAAAACCAGCACCCCAGTCGGCAGCAGATCCAACAGTACGTTAAGGAGTTAAACAGTCTGGAATCGAGGAGAGGCCGGAAGCCTTTGGATGTAAATAACGTGGTGTACTGGTTCAAGAATGCGCGGGCGGCGCAGAAAAGAGCGGAGGTGCGCAATATCAATCCCAACATGCACCTGCCAGTAAACGGATTCTCGGCGCATAGTCCTACAAACGGAGGTTTCCTCTTAGGAGACGGTTACTTAAATTCAGAAAACAGGATGAAAGGTGGACTGCTGAGAAGAGGACCTCAGAACTGCAATACTTCCGATGAGTTTTCCAATATGGGTTCCGACATGGAAGACGAGGAACTGACGGAGACCCAGTCGCCCAGTCCTTCAGCTCCGCTCTCACTGACCACTACGAGGAAGTCTACCTCCAGAGAGGCGAGTCCGAAGACCGTCGCCTCCCCCTCCCCGGCACCTGACATTCAAGTAGGTAAAACGCAACCCCGTTAGATCTCAATTGCAGTAGTTAACTGTTTGTCGTTTCTCCGCAGATTGAAAAGTGCAAAGACGAGCCCGTGAACTACTCCTCCGGCGATCGCATCAATAACAACAAGGTGCTGTTCAACGAAGAGGACGACAGGGAGACGGAAGACGACAGCAAGAGCCATTATGACTCTGCTACTTCCCCGAGCAGATCGATTTCGCAGCGCCTGTCTCCAGATATGAACGCCCAGCTCATTGCCAGACCCCACGATGGTCTGGACAGGTTGACTTCGGGGTTTCCGCTTGTGCCCAACACCATGTTCAGCCACAACATTATGTACATGAGCCAGTACATTCCCAGCTTATCCCATCCGGTCCCTTCCGGCTGTTCGGGAGCGCTCAGTATGTCCAGCCTGACAGTGGACGAGCGCAGGAAGAGGAACAGGACCTTCATTGATCCGGTGACTGAAGTTCCCAGGCTGGAGCAATGGTTCGCGTTAAATACTCACCCCTCTCACAATCTGATTATCAAGTACACCGAAGAACTAAATTGTATGGCTTACCGGCAGAAGTTTCCTCGCTTGGAGCCGAAAAATGTGCAGTTCTGGTTTAAGAATCGCAGAGCCAAGTGCAAGAGGCTGAAGATGTCGCTGTACGACAGCCCGTCAGGCCAGTACCACCACAGTGAGCGTGATTAAAACTTGATTACCACCGATTAGCTTGAGACAATAATCAGAACTTGCTTTAAAGAATGTTGGGTGCCACTTACGTCTATTATTTGCTATCTCGATGTTCAGTTTTGGCATTTCGTAACCCGGTAGACACCAATTTATATAAATGTCGATGCTTCGTGCAATATGTAATTCTTAGTACATTGTCTACCGCACATTTACATATACATGGGATATTTTAAATTAGGACAGGTTTTAAAAACGGGATATTTTGCCTTTGTACCTGGACATACTCCTTTGCGCGATGTCTTCTACAATACCAATTATAAAAATGTTAATGATGATGGAGATTTAATTTTCAAAAATAAGTCTCGCCAATTAAATTTTTATATTTTCGTTACTTCTGAAATAGTACTATATAGGTATACCATAAAAATGTTTTAGACTAAGATACGTAATACCTAGATATTATAGGCAGACTACTTTGGTATTATTTTTTATTATTACATTAATTCGAAAAAATGTAAATGTAGAGTTTTAGAAAACTATTTGTAAATGCTAAAACTAATGATATAACTGTTGCTCAAATAAAACTCCTCCAAATTCCACCCTTCTAGCTAAATAGTCTAAAGCTTTGAAATAGTCACTAGATATTAGTCATGATGTACGTTGACTCTAATATACCAAAGATAAAAAAGAAACTTATGAATTTTGTCTATGAGGCAGTATATTGCATATTCAAAAAATGTATCAATACCATAAAACATGTTTTAGATGTAAGTGTATTTGTGAATAGTGATGTGTGATACAAGTCTTTTTTGTTATATTGTTTTGTTTTTTAGTTCTAATTACAATTAAATATATTATAATTTTCCACTGGCTTTTTATTTCCCTGTATATTTTATTTCAGCCCAAGTAAAAGGACTTGTCCAAATTCTTTCTATAAACAAGGAACAGAAAAAAGAACACGGCACCAAGAGAAACTAAAACGGAAGATCAGCGGAATAAAATTACTTTGGGCTGATTATCGGCACCGGCTGATTTAAAATTGAAATGATCTGAATATTGACTTTGGATAAATCCTCTAAAGGGCTTATCCTGGGTAAGTGCGGAGCTAGGTTCCCTCAGAATCCACTTACAGGGACATTTCCTTACTCAATGTATTTTCCTTTCGATATAACGTAAACCGAGGAACAACAATCTGGCTCTCTGTCTTTCCTTGCGAGTTACGTAGGTATATGTATATATTTTGGCGAATAAACGCTATTTTTACAGATGGATAAATCGGTATAAAGTAAAATACAGAGAGAATCGGGGGATGAAAGTGATAATTATATTCCTTTGAACGTAGCCCTTTTCTAAGAAATCGTATTTGCATAAACTGCCTTACAATACCTTTCGTTTATATTGTTTTACGATATACACGAGTGAAACATTATAAGATGCAACTTTGTATATCTCTTTGATAAAATGAATAGTCTTGAGGATCGTCTCGTACTCTAGAATAAGGATAATGAGAACAATCCTCTTTTCCCAATTAAAAATTCTCTAGCTACATCGCAAGGTACCTGTTCGCGATTTAGAAGAATAATACTTTCTTCCAGCCAGTAAGCGACTCAGTGGCGTGCCTTGGCGTCGATTTTTTAAATCTGGATCGAAGTAAAAGCCTGTCGTGTGTGGCAGGGTTTAAGATAATGACTAGAGGCGAGTGGAGAATCGATACGAAACATCTCGCAAGCAAAGGAGGTCTGTCTCAGCTATCGATAATCCAGACGAGGCATAAATATGATCAAGTGTGAAGCTGGAACGGTAAGTACTAAGCCTGGCTTAGAGTTTGTCGAGTCCCAAGCCAGCGGCTCAGATGCCTCTTGGAAAAACAGCTGGTCGAACTTGCCCTAAACATTTCTCCTTATTGATTGCGATCCTCGCAACACTTTGCTCGAATTTATATGTATTTGTAACTCAGAAAATTACAATTATTTGTTCTTAGAGAACACCAATTTCTACGGAGTACTTCACTTTTTTTAATTGAACACATTGTATATACAGAGAGATACAGGGTGTAGAAGTTTCATTTTTATTTCGATTGTTTCCAAATAATTTCTTATGTAACGTCAATATTTGGATAGAAATTGGTGTCTGGGAGTTTTTTGACATGAGAAATTTGATTTTGCAATATAACTTCTATTTGTTGGGGGCGCCACCTTTATGTGTTTTAACTCTTTTGAAGTGTAATAACTTTTCGTCCGTACCTGCATAAAACTACTGAGTGAAAGAATATACATTTCTGGGATTTTTTACGTAAATAATGTCTCTACAAGCAACCGTTCCCAAGATATTTATAATTATAATAGTCAATACATGTCTTTAATGATAAAAAATAACCATAATAGATAGTTTTTTGACTAAAATGATAAATTTGGAAACTTTTTATTTTTTTTCAAATTAATAAATTTTTCTTCGAAAAAATTATATTAAAACAATTTCTGTTGAACTTTTGGCACAAAAAATTTCATATTTATGATTTCAGTCTAATAACTATTTAGTCAACATGTTTAATTTATGTCAATGATGACAGTTAATGATAATTTCGGTTCAAAATATGTCGAGAACTAGCGTAACAATTTTTACCCAGAGACCTTTTTTTATGTAAAAAATGTTGTAAATGTATATTTTTTTACTCAGTTGTTTTATACAGGTGTACCACTCTGTAAATCGAGAATTTTGTAATTTATTTATTTGTTTGTATTTATTTATAAACTTATTCTTAGTTTTTTGTTAGTTTTTAAGTTCTCTTATCTCTTATTTGACAATGTTTCATGCAAGGCTATTATATTTTCTACATTGATTAAAAAAAATGTATTTAAAAATGTTTTAAATACATTTTTCCAAACATCAGAGTTTACCATTTCTCTAAGCGGTTTTACACTTAAATTTAAGATTTGTCAAAAGTGCAGTTAATCAGTTGTGCAGTGAACAATTTAATTGATGTTAATTTTTAACAAATTTAAATGTGTCAATGTTTAGTAAATGAAGTATAGAGATTGACCTCGCCAAAATTATCATCGGTTGTTATTCTCCAGCCGTCTTTGACGCCCTTTTTTCGATCATACGGTATCACTTTATCTTTTGTGTGGTAGCGCTTGAATTTTATCATTTTTTATATTATTTATTATATAATTAAGCCAGAATATTACAAAAATGGTTCAATGGTTCAGGCAAATATAAACAAGCTACAATATGATGAAAAAAACGGCGTCAGCGATGGCTATGAAATGAAGATCGCTGTTATTTTTTATATGTAAAATTATATGGGGAATGTTACAGATCGTCAGGTCCAAACCCACTGGCCGCCTTTTTTTCGATCATACGGTATATAAGTATACATTTGAAACCGAAAAAATAATCTTACCAAGAAACTTAAAATATACAGGGTGTTTTATTAATAAAAAGTGAAGTTTGTAAACGTTTATAAACATTTTACGATTTCGGTCTGTAATGTTAAGATTTAAAGCCGTTGGTGTAAACATATCAAATGATATGAAGTGGAGGTTTGGTAGAGGTTATAAAGACGAGACGACAGGCGTACACAGTAAATCCCGATCAGGTTCTTAAAACCCCCTCTTGTGATCCGATTAACTTCTCACGCCACGTCTTTGAAATCTCGGTAATGATAAAAATAGCAATAAAAATTAAGGATAATAGGGTGAAGGAGAGCCAGAAAGCAAAAATTCATTTGGGGCTGCCGGTATCCTGACGATAACCCCGCGGCTGGCGTATATCCAGATAAGCAAGCCGGAGGAAATAAAATTTCTGATTGGTTACATTAAAAAATCTCTCCTACGCGCCTTTTAATTCCCGCGATATAATATTTCGAATAGTTTATCTCGCCTAACGAAAACGGCTGGCCAAAAAAGGAAATTAGATTGCGGAGTAAACGTAGCCAGGCAAGTTGCTCGCTTTATCGACACGCTAACTCCCAAATGGAAGATGGAAATTGAATAAGCTCACTGGGAATGGACGTGACACTGTATTTTTTATCTTTAATTTAGCAGCGACCTGATAAGTGGGCCTTGGCAGCCACGGGAGTCGCAGAATGGGCGCTCCTTGCCTCGAGATTACGTTTAGTAGCTGTATTTATTATTCATAACCGAGCGGAAAACGTGAAATACTACTATAACGCATGATAAAGGACTTTTGAATGGAGTCCGCTGAGATTATCCCCTGGCAGCTCGCGTTTCCAGCTTTTCCTTCGCGCTTTTATTGCGCCTTTTGTGCTTTTTTCGCTCTAGAACACCTCTTCGGGGACTCGTAATATGAATTACGTGGCGCCGTTTCACTTTAACTGATCTGAGCCGACCGCCTTCATTGTTTCTAATCTTTACTATGAATCAAAAGTAATGTAAAGTTCATTTCGCTAAAATTTAATTCTTAATTGTTGACATTGACAGCACGGGGGAAATCAACCTTGTACAGGGTCTGGCAATAGCACAGCAATAGTGCGTCGGGTCATCTGTAGCTCCTAGAATAACTTGGGAATTTTGTTTAAGTGTAAAAAGTATGTACAAAGATGTATTTCAGGAAAATACTGTAGTGGATGGGGATGATTTTTTTTAATGGAACACCCTGTATATTATTGCATTTTTGGCTTCCTTTCAGACCATTTTACATAATCCTAAGATATGAATAAATATATTTCGATAGTTTCAGAGATATTAATAAATAAATTAAAAAAATATATTTTTCAGCTTCATTAAAAAAAAATATTACAAATACAAGAGCTGTCCTGAAATCAAAACTATATTAGGTATTTACTTTAGATGGTATATACTTAACTTTGCTATAAATACCGTAATCTTAAATCATACAGGATGTTCAAAATTCTACGCCAAACTTTCTAAAATATTAAACAATTTTTCTTTGTTTTTTTTTTAATGAAACACCCTGTATATTATTTTTTAATTAGATGGAGAATTAAAAAATGAACATTTCTTGTATTTAAAGTATTTCAAAATTTTTAATGGTTTCGCAGATACACGTACAAAAAATTAGTATACAATTAGTATTATTTCATATGGCTCTCTCAACGGTAAAATACGAGAGGAAAAATCATTGTGTGTGGCTTTGGTAAAAATTTGGAAAATGCTATATGAAATATAAAACCGCGAATATCTGCGAAACCGTTAAAAATTTTGAAATACTCTAAATACAAAAAATGTTCATTTTTTAATTCTCCATCTATTGAAAAAATAATATACAATATACCATTTAAAAAAAAACAAGAAAAATTATTTTGTATTTTAGAAAGTTTGGCGTAAAATTTTGAACATCCTGTATGATATACGATACCATGTTGCCAGCAAGTAGGCTAAACCATCTAGGAAATATCTAATAATATTTACGATTTCGGGACAGGTTCACTGCTATTTACAATATTTCTTTTAGAAAGGGTGAAAAATACATTTTTTGTTATTTATTAATATTTCTGAAACTATCAGCTCTCTTACTCTGGGATTATGAAGTGATCTGAAGCCAAAATGAAACCGTTCAATTAAAAATCATCCATCAATCATCCGATCCTCACTGAGCCATAGAAGTTAAAATATTTTCTTGGAATACATCCTAGAACATTCTTAAGTTTTTTATTCTAGGAGCTACATATGCCCGACGCACTATTTCCGGACTCTGTAGATCTATTGTGTCACACTTTCTTGAGTTACAACTCATCATATAGTCTCAGGATTTTGTTATATAGTCTCTTGTATGGTCTCTTGTTTGTGCCTTGTTGAGAAGATCGATCTGGGTAATTGTTTTCTAAAACACTCCGTTATTT